TGCTTAAGTGGTGAGTAAGTGTTTGTAATGGAAACAGGAGACATGAATAAGAGAGAAAACAGTGACTGATAAGCTAACATCTACAGACCTTATCTCCGCTCTTGGAGGACAGAACATCGTTCTTCTTTATTTCCATAAATGCCAGATTTATGTTGTTTATTACTGACAGTTGTGTTGTTTACTGCAATTTATTTTCCTGCACTGTATTTTTTTAAACATTATCTGAGGTAACGGAAGCACAAGTTCCTGAGATGTTGGTTTCCAAAACGAAAATTCTAACTCTGTTTATACATTTCGCTTCTCAACTATGCACTGCTTTGTTTTGGTCTGTCGCATTAAATGTGACACCTGCTGCTGGTGTTTCTACTAGTACCAGGAAGACGGAGCATCCATTTGTAAAAGCCGTCCAACTGCTTCCCTGCAGCTCAGAGAATAAACTTTAAAATGATTCTGTGTGTAAATCACTGAACAGCTTAGCACCAAAACACTAAATTTTGTAAGGTTACATGTATGAAAAAAAAGTATGGTATTGGGTTCACTAGATCAAATTTATTTGAGACTACTGTCTCAAACTCTCTACTTTTTCTTTTACTTTGCAGATTATGTAAATGGTTACAAACCTTGAGTCAAGTTTGACAAGAAACTTTTTGGAAAATTTTTATACTCGTCTAATTCCAAGTTGCTCCATTTTAAGGTCATGACTAAATCAACGGTTTCATAAATCTCAAACTGTGACGATGATGATGCTGAACGCCTTCGCACCACCATACCTTAAAGATCTGCTGCTGTTGTATCAACCTTCCAGACCTGTCAGATTCTGGTTCTGGTTCTGTTCTGCATCCCCAGAACCAGAACCAATCATGGACAAGCAGTTTTCAGCTTCCAGAACAAACTTCCAGAAAACTGCAAAACAACCAAAACGCTGAGAGTTCCTTTAAATGAAAGCTAAACCCTGCCTTTGATTAGTAGTAAGTGAACATTGATCAACATGTTGATGACATTGATGATGGCATTTGACAAAATGTAACATTTACTGCTTGTCTGGTAGTTCCTGTCTTTATGGTGTAAATCGCTTTGATCTGCCTTGTTGCTGATGTGCTATACCAATAAACTTGACTTGATACTTTGGGTCTCACTGCAACTCCAACCATTTTCTCTGTAATCCCCCCCTCGCCCCCCCCACACACACACACACCTGATGTGGAAGAAGAAAAGATGCATCCTCATTCCCTCATCCTCGCATTTCTTCCATCACCATCCCTGAACTCAGCTGCTGCCAAGTCCTGATGCGTCACTTCCGATCATCCACTGGCATCGTTGCCATTTACAAAACGGCTAAACGTCTGAATCTCTTGACGCGCCACAAAAAGAGGAAAAGACAGAACCAATTGCGGTAACGACTGCAGCGCAGCGAGGGCTGTGCGTGCGGGCAGACGCTCGCCGAGGCCTAAATGTGCTAAATGAAATCCGAAGAATGCACATGCGCGTACGCATTCCCTCGGTAAGAGCCGAGCCGTACGAGCTAATGATGTGCGGCTGCAACGAGCCAATCTCGCATACATCAACTCAACGAACCACCAGAGGAAGACGTTCATTAGGCGGGACGGTCAATACGGCGGGCGGCGTTTAATGCTCGGTTAACCCCACCGACTTGTAGAGCCGCACGTCTCTATCTGCAGAACATCTTTGCTCTCAATCTGACCATTTTTTCTGGCAACCTTCAGGCTAAGGTTTCCTGTAAGTGCTTTGATCTCTGATAGACAGGATCATGGCGCCCCCACAGGTACGCTCTCAACATTTTCAACACATAACCCCCCGAGCCCCCCACCTCACTGACAAGGTGAGAAAATCTGCAAAGAAGAGACAGGAAGTGACTGTTTCCACTTGTGTCCTGACTGACAGCTGAGCATGGGGGGGACTGTGTCTTACATGCAATGTGAAAGAGGGGGAGGACTGGAAGTGCGGGGGATGGTTAGGGTCACATTTCCCCTCCCACCCCCCACCCCACATGTATGGGAAGGTGCGTCTCTTCAGAGCACCCTGGTGTTGCCTTAACAGCAACGCTCAAATCAAATCACAGCTGCACCAGAGGGAAATGGAGTCTGAGATGCAGAGCTGTCATCGTTTAGGCTATAAATCTTTCAAATCCAACCCCCACTGCACCCCACCCCCACCCCTCCATCACCCATCTGTACATCTGGGTTGCAGAAGCCGCCGCTCTGCAGGAAGGTTTATTTCTCCCGAGGAGAACGTTTGCAGATTTTGGCGCTGGGAAAGTCGGGTGGGGAAATAAATCAGAGCTCATAGAACGTATTAATTTGACAAGCCAGGAACAACGCGGGTGTCGGAAATAGGGCAGAGTGAGGTGTAATGACAAGTGTGTGCGCGTGTCTGTGTGTGTGTGTGCTTGTGTGTGTGTCCGCCTGTGGTCACTGCTAATGAACTCGGTGTTTGATTTGCTTGTGGACACAACTTTCAGTGGTGTGTTCTCTAAAGCCTCTTGTGTGGACACAAACATGGAGCATGTGTGCAGATGCCAGGGGCGCCAGCCGAGGGAGGGGCGGCTAGAGGGGGGGCAGAGCTGGCCTTCATGTTTTCATACCCAACCTCTTTTATTTAGGAACCTAAAATTAGGACATGGGAGGACAAGTCAGTGAGTTGCAGCATTTATTTATTCATTCTCCGGCTAAAGGGGCAGCACTTTTTTGAGCTTTCTTCATGTTATAATGTTGTTTCCTCATCAAAATCAGACCCGGAGTGTTACTTTGAGTCTTTCATGAATGTTTGAGAAACCCTTTAATTTTCCGTGGCAACGATTGATCTGTGCAAAACGCCTGGTTGGACCCAGCCACCCCAGAGCAGAGGACGAGCATCAAGGACGAAACTCCTCCTTTGATCTTCAGTATTCAAACTTCAGAGATTCTGCCTCACAAAGCAGTCCTTCCCCACTTAGCTCCTTCAGACTAGCCAGCAGCAATTAGCTAACACCTGGTGGAACGGTGCCTCTGCAGGAGCTACATCTCAGTGTAACACTGGTAAAAATGTCGTTAAAGGATTAACAGAGGAGCCATGTTGTGATGACTTCCTGAAGGTGGAGCTTCAGAAAGAGCAGGAGCTTCTTAAAGCGACAGAGGCTCAATTTCAAGGCATTAAATTACAAAGTCAAGTTTCTTTTAAGGCATATTTGATATAAACAGCATAGTGCTATAAAATGGCACAATGTGCCTGGAAAACACATTTCAGTTTGACTGTAGGACACCTGGCCCCTTGCTTACAGCAACACCTCAAAAAATTATTGGATATCATACAAAAATACATTTTCTATCAAATGTTACATAAAAGTATCATCTTTATCACAGCTGATGGAAACCCTGAGTTCAGTTTCTCACACATTTGGAACATTTAAATAAAACGACCAAAACGTAAAACTTCATCTCAAAAATATTCGTCCCTGTTGTGGGTAGAACATGCACCTGCAAACTTGGCTTGGGTTCCTTTTGAATCCATTAGACGGAGGGGCTCAGCTCGTTGCCTTGGTTTCTTAACAGAGGACTTCAGCTCATCTGCATTTTTGACTCAGGTGTCTCTCATCTCCTGCTTGACAAACGTCCAGTAATTCAGTTGGGACCCTGGGCCCAGCAGCTAAGCTCAGTGACTCTGTGGTTGTTCCAACTGGCCAGCAGAGGGCGCAGTCAGGCGCTGCAGGGTGTGGAGGTGGACGGGATTCGACTCCGTCTGGATCTCTGAAACTCGTACTAAATGCCTCTCCACTTTTCCTCCACATTTTGGGATCTTGATTTTCAAATGAGGAACAAAATTTTAACTGAATTTGAAAAAACAAAAAAGAAAGCTTTTCTGTACTGGGTCCAGTTCTTTTTCTCCTGTAAGTTGCTTTTTAATGTTTTCTCTGGCTCAGAAGCAGCCCTGGCTAGTCTCTAATGACCTTTTTGTCCTATATTTTTTTCCTTCCACTTGACTTTCCATTGTTATTCTTAAATACAGTCACCTGCTTTCAGAATGATCAGATGATTAATCCAGTGATTGTGTAGGCATGTAACAGCTAAAGTACTGCACTTTTGAACTAAAAGTAACTTTTGAATCATTTCTTGACTGTAATATTCACATTTTCAAATAAAAAACTTTTAGGATTACATAACGGAATTTTTCCCCTGCATATATTTTCATATGTTTAGGGGATCGACTTATAGTTATGGTCGGTTTCTTAATAAACAAAAAGAAAAGAAAAATCTGTGATTACTGAAGCAACAACAAACTTTTTCATGACATTCTTGTTTATTTAGATGCACCAGTAGTTGAGATGAATTTTCATCCCCCTCCCCCCCCCCACACACACACACACCTGCCTAAACGATCAGTGGGGCCCGCCACCAGGACCGCCCATTTTCAAACTTTCTGGAGCCGCCCCTGGCTCAGGCAGCATTTTTCTCCTCTGTCTCTCTGCTGCGCACAGCTCTGCTCAGTAAACCAAAATCACCTGCAGAGGCAGGTGCACACACGCACCTCACATCACGCGCTTTACCAACATACATGCGCGCGCGCACGCACACACAGCGACACTTTGACACACACTTATCTCCACTTGTATGTCGAAATCCAACACAAAAATTAAAAAAATGCAGTTTTCCTCCTAATTCGCGCAGAGAATCGTGTCCTGAATGCAACTTAGTGGGGAAATAAAGCCTCTCAAACTGCGCGTCAGTCGGACACACAGCAGGTTGTGTTCAGATTTTTTTTGTTTGTTAATTTTCTTCCCTCTCTGTTAAATACCTTCACTGGCGGCTGATTCTGCAGGGAAATCCTGCATCGAACTTTATGCGCCCGGATATATAAGGACGCCGCCAAAAGCTCCGTAATGAGCGCGAAGACGAGACCGAAAAACAGGTCAGACAGCCCGCCGCTCTGCAGCGAGCATCCCCGCAGCTCCCCGCAGCTCCCCGCATTCATCCCGCACAAGTTCGGCCGCTTTCGCTCCAACTTACCGATGAGAGCCAGATGAAGAAAGTACAGTCCGAGGAAGTCCATAACGGAGCGATTCAGATGGATGCAAATCCCGGCCAAGGAGACAGGCGTTGCGCCGCGATGAGGATAATAGTAATTAAAAAAAAAAAAAAAAAAGAATAATAGGAATAATAAAAATGAAAATAAAAAAACAGGGCTCCCCTCCTTCTGCTGTAATTGGCACCGAAATTAAAGAGCGAAAGAATCGCAGCTATTTCTCAAGTGATGACTGGCCACTTACGCTGACGCTGAAATCCACAGCAGTGCGTGAAAAAACAGCAGCGGAGCTGAGCAGCATCTTTTCTTTTTTTTGTTTTTTTTCTTTAAAGAAGTCAAACTTTTTTCTCGTTTTTTTATTTCCTGTCTGGAAAGCGATTGTAGCTCCGAAATTCACAACAAAGATGCTGGGAATATATAAATAAGAAATATATATATTTTAAAAATTATATGTCGTTTCAAATCTTGCGCCTATTGAACATCCCTGACTGCTTCAGACGATCCGTCCCGAGCGGCTGTTTGCTCTCATCTGCGCCTTCACCTGCGCGCAGCCTGGAAACTGCGGATGAATCACTGAATCACTGGCACGTCGGTTTTTTTCTCCGATTTCCCCCCTCTTCTTCTTCTTCTCCTTCTTCTTCTTCTTCTTCTTCTTCTTCTTCTCCTTCTTCTTCTTTTGCGTTTCCGACCTGAGAGGCAGCCCGTGTGATCCTCGCTGCTGGGTGTGTGTGTGTGTGTGTGGGGGGGGGGGGGGGGGAAGCCCGCCCCCTTTAAAATAGAAAAAATAAAATAATAATGATAAAAAAAAAAACTGGATGGAAAAAAATCCAATCCTGGCCAAAGAGTTGAAATAGGGCAAGTGAAATCGATAGCCTATTTCAAACAGCCATAAAATGGAAATAACAAAACTGGAAAATGGTGCATAGCCTGTACAGGAGGGTGTGGGTACAGTTCATCTGCTCTTTCACCTCATAGTGGAGATGTTGGGGGGGGTCACCTTCTTAAAAAAAAAAGACAAAAAAAACCTTGTAGTAAAATGGAAGAATTCATGATTTGTATTGATGTTTGAGGAAGCAGACATTATGTCTGTGTCACCATAAAGAGCCTCATCTGTTAGCATGACCTGTTCAGGCGCTACAGTGGCATTGTCTGGAATCTGGACTGTTTTTCAATAACTTCTTGATGCATTTTGACCTTGCTAAATATCACAGTAATGTGAGAATCTGTCAAAGATTTATTTATTAATTTTGCTGCAAAGTGATACTGTGTGCCTAGAGAATACATAATACCTCAACTTCAAGAAAGGTACATCACATAAGTTTGTACTTTAGGTTTATTTGGGTTTTTGTCTGAATAGATTAGAGGAAATCAGCATTAAATTTGCACAGAGTTCCTGTTTGTATCATTCATCAAATTCCACCTCAAGCGCAAAAGTGCAACTCGTATGCCTCTTTGGTAGTCCAAAACCATCGTCACGTCAATTCTGCAGGGATGTAAACCTAAAGCCGACACCGTCTACAGAGCGGCCTCACGCTCTCCTTTCAAAACAAAACCAAGAGTAATCTATTTTCATCTGGGTTTTTGGGACAGCAGCAGTGATTGACGCATTAGGCAATCCTTACTGTGATTATTTTGAGATGTAACCCACTTTTTCCCTCATCTTCTGCTCCACGCGCCCAGAACATCCCGGCTTAGATCCGGGAGAAGCCGCGCCGCGCATTGCGTCGCGTCAAGGCGCATTTGCTTGGAGTCAAGTGCGCCGACAGCTGCTTTTTGCGTGTTCGGTTCTGACGTTACTTTTTATGTTTCGGTCAGAGTCTGAATTTTCTTTCAAGCTGTTAAGCTCTCGCAGCTGACAAATTAAATTTTGAGCAGTTGCCCCGTTGGGAGTTGTTTTCCCTTCTCGAAGCCTTTTCTTGGTAGTTTTACAGCTTCTCGTTGACACTTTTAACTGAATGCTTGCTTGTGCAGTTGGTGAAAAAGAAGAAATAAAAATGCCACTATAAGAAATATAAGAAAATTGACACCTATTTTTTCTAAATAAAAAAATAATAATAATAAAAAGCCTGAGACATCACAAACCTCTTTTAAGCCATCTAGTCTTTTCAAAAGGAACGTGGGGACACTGGGACTCTGAGAATCTGGTTGCTAAAACAGTGGGAGGGCTGAGAGTAGAGAGTCTGCGGGTGGTGAGACGTATCTGGGTGGATTTGTCCTCCAGTGCCGACTGAAGAATTCCTCACAGCCTGCCTTTGTCGTCGATTTCTCCACTGAAAAGCCCAACTGTGTCTTTCACCGTCTTTATATCCGTGGAGTTTTCTCTGCGGCCCTGAGGATGCTTTCAATTACTTTAGGGTTACAAACATAGTCTCTAAAGCCAGCATCATATTTAAACACTCCTCCAGATGCCAACACAGACAAGCACAGACCAGGACAAGATGGAGAGTAAAACGTTTGATTCAGTGGAAGCGTGACTTTCGGCGTCTAGAAAAGTCAAAAGTGGCATGCATTTTTTATTTAATCGTCTAAATAAACATTTAAGGGTGGAGCATTCTGCATCTTTGGTCACTGAAGAGAGTGAAACACCTGACTGAAATGATTTGCATGGATAAATCAATAATTTTAACATTATGAGGTCTTTCACAAATACAAACGAGAAATTTAGACTCATGTCTAATTTTCTTTCCGTTTCAGAACTGTGCACTACTTTGTCTCAATCTGCTGTGCTTGGCAAGGCAGCTGATGTGCGAGAAGACTTTTAGGCACATTTTTGGAACTTCTTCTTGCACTGTGTAGACTCAAGAAGAGAAAAAATAGCAACGGAGTCCAAGGTTTGGGTGTTTGTACCTTGGCGGTGGTCCAGAATCAGATAACCTGAGAAGCTCCTCTGCAGCAACGGCGAACCTCACCGCCTTGCTGTTGGGCAAACTTTCCACAGCAGGAGAGGACGATACAATCCTTACTCGGGATTTCAGAACATTGTACGCCAAAGTTCATCTCACCTCAACCCTACCTTCCTGCGAGCTACTCCAAATGTGCATCGTGTGCCAAAACCCCCCCACATTGATTGCCATATCTGAGTCTTTGAGTCTCATTCTTGTTCGGGGAGAAATAGCTCCTGCATCCATCCCTCTCTCTTTTTCTTTTGGCTTTTAGAGCATTTGCCACTCTGATGTCACAGCCCGGGAGACAATATGCGACACGTGTCTGGCGTGTCAGCCTTGAAGAGGCTTTCGCTCCCCATGAGGTGTTAATTTATTTAATGTATTCCGTTTAACACCATCCCCTGCCTTGTTTCTTTTCATTAGAATTTTCAGCATATCTCTGCAGATTCACGGCCTCACAGAGACACACGGAGAGAATTTAGAGGGTGAAGAAGAGACGTGGGGGGCGAAGGGAGAGGATGGGGGGGAATGTGAGAGAACTGGTGCTGCACCACCTACACAATCCAGCCAATTCAGTGCGACTCAACATTCGCAATGGAGTCACTTTGTAGTCCTGCTATTGAGCGAGGACGGAGCTGAATCAGATGCTGGAACAGCTTCCAAGGCCCTTCTGCACAAACAAAGTCTGGCTGGGCAACGGAGTTACAGTTACAGGATAATAACCCAAGGCTGACTGCAGTGCAGCTCTTCTGTTTGCTGCCATTCTTTTCACTCTTAGTGTGTCTCAGTCTGTCACTCTCTCTTTCTCTTTCTCTCTCTCTCTCTGTCTTGCACATATTGACGTCCTCTTGCTATGTTTCTCACAAAATAGCTTTTTCTGTAACTCAATTATGAGTTTAATGTCGGTTATGCAGTGTTTAGTGGCTGTTTCCTGAGCAGTAACCCGAGGCTAAACTCTTAGTCTTATTTGTAAGGACAAATGCTCTTGCTCAACATTTTATTAGGTGCAGCTGTTCTATAGTTTAGCATAAATAGTGAACCAGAGGATGACTTGGCAGCAAATCGATCCATGTTGGCGTCTAGATGTGAAGAAGGCAAATTGCTGAAGTTCAAACTGAGAATCAGAAAGCAAAAGAAAGGCGGAGTTTAACCGATACTCCCACACCTGATGGTCTGGGGGTATCGGTGTGATTGGGGAGCAAAATTGCAACATTTGTAACATTTTCAGTTTCTACTTTTCGCTTTTACACTGCACTGTGTTAAACGAACCAAACCCTTTGACAAACCTGCTCACCCCAAGTGAAAAGCTCTGAAGACACTGAGCACAACTTCCTTCTTCACAAAATATAAACCAAAATGGAGCAGTGTCAGATTTTAGCGGTTGTAAAATTTCTTCTTTGTCTCTGGTAAAAGTTTAACCATTTTGCCTGCTAACGCTAGACATGTTTATTTTGGTTGTATTTACCCAGAATGCCCTGTGCTGCAGTCCACTTCCTGCTTTTCGAGCAGTCTCTGGTCCGCTTGGCATTCACATATGCATTCAAACCGCCTCAGAATTCACTTCAACTGAACCGAAGTCGAGGTTTCTACACAAACCACAGTTTGCTTGTTTTTTGATCGAGTTCGATTGTGAATTCACACCTCATCAAACGCACCGGACATTCCAGGCAATCGAACTAGAATTGGGTTAAAGTGGACTAAACAGGGCGGGTAGTGAACGCACCCTGAGCCACTTCACACATTTAGAGGAGGCGCATCAGCTATGATTACTCCTTTTAATGCTGAATACAATCTCAACGCACAACACATCATCAAACCAGTTAGCAGATGGGGTGCGGCAGCTGAAGACCACACAGACAGCTGCTCCTTCCCGCTTGTTACAGGCTGATCAGAATCAGACCGTTGTGATTACAGATTGGAAAAGTGTTGCCCGGCCTAATGAGTCTGTAATTCAGCTGCAGCATTGAGACGGTTTGGTCGGATTGGGTTGTAGACGACATAGAGGCGTGGTTCCACCCTGCTTGCATTGCCCATGCATTGGCATGGGCAATAACTAAGTCTAAATATTTTTAAACGTCGCACCACCTGAATATTAACAATCATGTCACCAGATTTTCTGGATGATCTGATGGCTTCTCCCAACTTGATGTCAACTATCTCGCGCTTATTTTTTGAATATGACAATAAGTTTGCTGCAGTCTGATAACGTTCACAGTCACATCTCATCCTAATGGAGCATCTTTTTGATGTGGTTGTACAAAGGATTCATGTAACCGATGTGAAGCCGACAATCCTGGAGCTGCTACATGCCAGTGTTTACCGAAGCCTCTGAGTAACGTTTCTTACACCTTGTTGAATTCAATCTGTGAAGAAATAAGGCAATTCTGAATGGAAATATGGGTCCAACCTACTAATAAAGTGTCCCTAAGTGAGTTTGACTACATTAAAATTAGATGTCTAAATTTAACAGATCAGCTGTATAATGTTTTTTTTTTTTTTTTCTCAAAGTATGGTGTGGGTTTCATGCTAGCTGTGGAGCAGTGGAACTCCTAGGGGGTTAGTGGGAGTTCAGTTTTCCAGTTCATATTTGTGTTGCAAATCTGGAGGAGGTTAACAACAATTGTCTGTTTTTTTTTTTTTTTTTTTTTAGAAGGGTGCTGCCGTAGCAAGAGATGCAAATAAATGTGGGGAGAATTTTTCTGCCATAATTCGAGAGCACATGTTTTCAGTCTGAAAGCAGGATTTCCTGTCTTTTGTTCTCAAAACTTTTAATATGTTTGCTTACCTTTTTAGTTTGAAAGCAGGACTTGATGTCTTTCTTTTCAAA